CTATAATGTTGTCTATCTCGCTAGGTAGTGTAGTAAGAAAAAATGATCCTTTGGCTCTTATTGCTAGAGGATGTAGAGCGGCCTCCAATGAGTCTTTACTTTTAAAAACTGAAGTTCTTTCTACAATTCTAGAATCTAGCCCACAGTTCGTTCTGGCTAAGTTTTAAGAAAAAAACTTTGTGACATAAGTATTTTACTTTATTTTAAAAAATATAAAGTCTGTTTTTTTTTAAAGATAATTCCCCAAGTCAAAAATTTAGTAACTATGTTGGCAACACAAGCCTTTTCTACATAAAAAATTTGAAAGCATTGACAATTTTACATTGCATTGCCAACATAATGTCATTTTGACTTTTATCTTTAAAAAAAAAACAGATTTTAGAGTAGTCCAAGATCTAACGTCAATGTAAATTCATATTTCAATACTTTCTGTCTTCGGGCTTCCTTTTCTTGTTTCTCTTTTTGTCTTCAATATTTTCTCTATGACTTTTATTTTCTCTTTTCTATCTTCGGGTATACTCTTGTTATCCGTAATATTTTCTATAAAGTCCAGCAATATTTGATTAACTTGTTTCATTGCAGCTAATATTCGCTGTCGTATTTTCCATATAATTCTTTATATTTCATATTTTTCTTGAATATACTTTACTTACAATAAATAAAGTTCCTACTTTACAACAACAACTTTTATTGCACTAATTGACTTTCCAAAATTAACTCACCTACCTACCGTTTTTATTTAACTTTATACAACATTTAAACTTCAACTTACAAAGTACCTACGCACGCGCTTTATTTACAAAATCAATCACCCGAATCTCTTTAGAATTCTCAGAATATTCGTGTTTATTTAAATCACACAAGGAAACGAATTCTTGAACGTTTCCGCATTTTTTTTATTTTTTTTATTTGTCAAACACATTGTGTTTATTACATTACAATCTAGTCAGTAAGACTAATTAGCAATTTTGTTTTAACCTAATTTACTATAAAGTTTACAATTCTTGAGGTCCACTCAACAGTTTTTCCCACTTTGCTTAAACTGTAAATCACAATTTTGATGTGTTTATAGCACTGTTTTGTTGTGTTTTTCAATTTCAGTTCACTAGCTCGAACGGCTTCACCCTTCTCAGTCTTCTAACTAGCTCAGTATTGTCTAGGAGCTCAATCACTTCCACATTCACATTCCGATGTAGTCTATCTTCATGGCTTTTTGCGTACTTTCTTATAGTCTCTGTTACAGTATCAATTCCTAGTTCCCGATGTAGATCACTATTTCGAACGTACCAAGGTGCATTAACAATGTTTCTTAGTACTTTATTTTGGAATCTTTGAATAACTTGTATGTTACTATCTTTAGTGCAACCCCAAAGTTGAATTCCATATACCCATACTGGTTTCAGTATTTGCCCATAAAGTAGTAACTTGTTATGTATGGTTAAATTGGACGTCCTTCCAATTAACCAGTACATTTTTCTATACTTAAATTCAAGCTCTTGCCTTTTTTTCTTAACATGTGCTTTCCAGCGCAATTTCGCATCAAGAGTCATACCAAGATATTTAGCTTGATTTGAATATGGTATAGGGGTGTCATTAATTGTGATTTGTATGTGATTTACGTTTTTGTTTGTAAAATCAACGTGAATTGATTTGGTTTCATTCAATTTTATTCGCCATTTTTTGGTCCAATTTTGAACTTCGCTGACAGCGTTCTGCAGTTTTTCTGTTGATTGTTCAATTCTTTTTTCCACTGTAATTAAACCAGTATCGTCGGCGAATGTTGCTAAATGACAATTTTCTGGTTTTGAGATGTCGCATGTAAATAATAAATATAAGAAGGGACCTAGCACGCTACCCTGAGGTACACCTGCTTTTATTTTTCGTAAATTTGACTCAAAATCTTCCTGTTTGACTCTGAAATGTCTATCACACATATATGATTCCAAAATATCAGAATATTGTTTTGGCAGAAACAGCTTTAGTTTATAGTTTAAGCCTTCATGCCAAACTTTGTCAAATGCTTGCGCTACATCGAGGAAAACTGCGGAACAGATTTTTCCCTCTTCCAGCGATTTTTCTATTAAATTCGTTATTCTGTGTACTTGGTCGATCGTAGAGTGCTTGTCGCGGAATCCAAATTGATGGGTTGGAATGATTTCCTGTCTTTCTATGATCGGCTTTATTGTTTTTAGCAGTATCTTTTCATAAAGCTTAGATAAAACGGGCAATAATGATATTGGCCTATAAGATGACACATCATGAGGTGGTTTTCCGGGTTTTGGTATCATGATAACTTCTGCAACTTTCCAAAGTTTAGGTACGTATTTAAGCCTAAAGGACGCATTGAAAAGGTTGCATAATTTCACAATAGCTTTCCTGGGGAGTTGTTTTATTACTTCCCCAGTAATTAGGTCATATCCTGGAGCTTTTTTCGGACTGATATTTTGTTTGATCTCTGTTAATATTTCTCTTGGTGAAGTAGGCTCAATGTGGCCTTCTTCTTGATAAGGTTCATTCCAGGGAAGATTTTCATCCTGTGCTTCGTTAGGCTGGAATGTCTTTTCTAAATGACTTGCAAAAAGTTCTACTTTTTCTTCGTTACTCCTTGCCCATTGCTGATTTGACTTTCTTATGGTTGGAATTTGGGTAACTGGTCTTTTAAGGCCTTTAGTTGCTTTCCAAAGAGAATAATCAGTGCTTTTGTCGCCGGTGAGTTCACTTAGGTAATTGTTGATAGAGTCATTTTTGATTTCTTGAATTTCTCGCCTTATGCGCTGCGTCATATTGTTGATAATTGTTTTGTCATGGGGATCTCGACTTTGCTGCCATTTTCTTCTTAGTTTCCTTTTTTCTATAATAAGATCTCTAATTTCTTTTGGGTAGTTTTTCCCCTAAAAATTTTTTTTAATTTGGGACTGTTTTCCCAAGCTGCTTGTTGAATATTGACGATAAAACAATCGACTTCTTCATCAATTTGTTGTGGCGTTCGCAACGGTACTGATAAGTTTATCTTTTCCGACAGACTTTGTTTAAAACTAGCCCAGTCCGTCAGTTTATTAACTAATGAGATAGGTGCTTTTTTCTTAATTATATATTCACTCAGAGTTAGGATAATAGGTGAGTGATCTGAGTGTAAATCATAACTTTCTTCTATCTCCAGAAAATTTGGAGATATATTTTTTATTACGAAAAAATCGATTAGATCGGGAATTTTTCCAGGATCGGCTGGATAATATGTTGGCCTACCTGTGGATAGGGGCTGGCATTGATATTCATTAATAGCTTGCAGAAGTTCCTTACCCTTGGAATTGGTTAGTCTGGAACCCCAGTAGGTATTTTTTGCATTAAAGTCACCCCCAACTATGAATCGATTTCCCAACTTTCTAAGAAAACTGAGATATTGATTTTTCTTCAATAAATGCCTTGGTGGTATATAGGCAGCAGATATGGTTAGTGTATATGTTTTGGTTTTTACACTTACTGCTGTAGCTTGAATTTCAATTGTTTTGTATTGCGTCTCTTCAATGTGAGATATGTTTTCTTTAATTATGACAGCGCTTCCTCCATGTGCTGTATTGCTAGGATGAATTGTGTGATACACTTTATATCGTTTAAATTTAATATAGGATTGATTTGTGAAATGCGTTTCTGTTATGAGGCAAATGTCAATCTTTTGTATATCTAGTATAACTTGCAACTCTTGCTGATGCTGCAAGAGCCCATTGGCATTCCAAGCTAAAATTCTAAGGTTACTGACCATTTTGACGATTGATGATAGCGCCATTATTGCTATTTTCCAGTTTAGTTAATCGCTCATCAAGTTTGTTTAATTTTTCCAAAATCAATTGCAATGTTTGTTCCATAGTGCTTTGGTTAATAGAGTTGCCACTACCAGTGGCAAGAGCTGATGCTACTGCTTGGCTGTAAGTCCTTGTCGCAGAGTTTTGCGTAGCTGCGTTTCTTGGTTGTTGGCTGTGACCATTTGTGCTTGCTTGTGGTGTGGGAGTTGGCCTTTTCGGGTTATTCCTTAATTTTTGTATTTCTTTAGCTACAATGCACCCCCTATAGTTAGCTGGGTGTTTGTCGCCGCAGTGGACGCATTTTGGATCAGAATCTTTTGGTTTCGAACAGTCTACAGTGCGATGTTTTCCTGTACATCTCACACATCGTGGTTCTTTAGCGCAATATTTTTGAGTATGTCCATAAGATTGACATTTTTTGCATTGAGGGACTAGTTTGGAAGTTTTTAGTGCTTTCATTTCCACTTGAGTTCCAAGTATTTTGGGAATTTCGAAAATTTTGTTGATGTCTTCATCATGGCTAAATGTTATCATAAACATGTTTAGTGGTTGTTTTGTTCTCGACTTAACTTTGTTAGAGGCTTCTAGGGCCTTGAACCCTTTATTTTTAAGGTCAGCTACAATTTTTTCTGGATCACAGGAAAAGTGTAACCTGTTGGCAATCACTCTAATTGGCCTTTCTTGTTTGTTTTCATATGAATGCCATTGAAGCTTTATTTCATTTAGCATTTTGGTGACCAGCCTGTAGCTGTCTGCATCCTGAACGTTTATTTTGATATTTTCGTTATTCAAAACTTTTATTTGGACTCCTTGTATGATATTTAACTTATCGTAAATATCGTTAAAGTTATTAACGCCATTAACCATAATCGGTGGGGGTAATGGCACCTTTTTAGCCTTGGAGGATTCTCCAGTAGTGTTCGAGCCAGCGTTCTTTTGTGGTGGTGATAGCGAAGTATCCATTCGACGTTTTTTCCAGCCTTTTCCCTTTTGTCTGATCCACTCAGTTTCTTTTGCTAACTCCTCTTCGTCGGTTTGGTAGTCCATGTTGGACTCTTTTTTTTGGTTAACTTTTGTCTCTAGATCGGCAAACTTTTTTTGCATAGTTTCCAGTTGGCTCTGGAGATAATCCACTTGATCCACGTTTCCGCATAATGTAATTTTGTAACAATATTTTAGCCGTTTATTATTTGTTTTCAGATTTTGTCTAGCTCTTGCAAATGGAGGTACAATGGTAACCTCTTTCGTTATTTGCATGGAGGCCGTTGGCGGTAAATGGAGGACCATAGTACCGATTTTGTACCAGATACCTTTCGGCTTTGGCTATTCTTCGTTGGCTGGAATTGCCTACTTCATAAGAGATTGGAGAGATTTACATGTCGCCATTAGTGTATTGTCTTTGCCTTATGTGTCATTTTCTTGGTAATGGGTTTTGCCTTGTTAATTCAATTTGATTTTTATTATCTTTGTTCAGGTTGGTTCCAGAGAGTCCACGTTGGCTCTTAGCGATCGGTAAACACAAGGAAGCTTTGAGGATTTTAAAGAAAGCTGCCAAAGAAAATAATTTGAAACTTTTTGATATTGCTAATGAAATGACCAATTTGTCTAAGCAGGGATGTACCAAACAACCTAAAATGAGCTTTAAACAGCTGTTTTCCACAAAAATACTCATAAGAAGGACTTATCTGCTTTGTATAAATTGGTTAGTATTTAGTGAATCTTGTTTGAGATTATTGCTGCAATAGTGCTGGTTTTTCAGGTCACTTGCTGGAATATCGTTTTACGCCTTTATACAGCATATAGGACACGTCAGCAATAATTTATTTTTTACTGTTGCCGTTGGAGGATTTATCTCATTACCTGGTACAGTCAATTTAATTTGTGAAAATACAGGGTGTCCCACTAAGGTCGACGAGGTAAGTTATTATGGAAACCATAGGCCTTACGGCATCGGGATTTTTTTTTTCTTCACTAAATCGGCCAAGAGAAATTGATGGAAAATATTTTCAAGTTTCTAAGATGGCCGCTAGGGGGCGCAATCACGATGATATAACTAAAAATTCAAATTTTCTCGAACAATCGCTATATCAAGGTACTGTTTTAACAACAGAAATCAAAAGTTCGTTAATTTTTGCGCCAGTTTGCTTATTAGCCTTTTTCCGTATCTTCATTAATAAGGGTGGGGTAAGATGGTGAAAAAATAGTTTTAAAAATTGCTGTATCTTCCATACCCCTTATCCAAACTCATTCAATTTGGGCTTATTCGAAAGAGAATTTCATGTTTATTAAGAGCACCACTTCGTTCGGGGTCGATAGTTCCCACCGCGTCTTCTAGAGGGCGCTGTTTAACCAAGATCCAGTTTTTTCTAATTTTCTGGAAAAATCCAAATGGCATGATATATTTTTTTAAAACTCTGCTTAAAGAGCAAAAAATTATCTACATTTTGGCGCAAACCGCAATCCGATATCTGCATTCGTTTTCAAGTTATTTGCAAATAACTATTTTAATCGAATATCTCTCTCCTGTCATTTTAAACCAATCAAAAAATCTCATTTTGTGGTCAAAAATTAGTTTCAAGTGGAAAAATTTCATGACATGACATGAAAACAAAATAAAATACTCATAAATGTTAATAAATCAATAAAAATTCATTGTTTTGCTCAGTAAGGAAACATTCTTAACAAAAACCACTCGTGCTTCTAATTTTTCCTGACGCAAAATCTAAAAAACTCGTTTGCAAGTTATTTGTTTACCAAAATACTGGCGTGAATGTTTTTCATCTATGAGTGTGTGGAAGGTAGCACTTTACAGCTCACGTGCGGTAAAGTACTTGAAATACAAAAATAATGACACTCGAAGGTGAAATTTTGTACCAACACATGCCGAAAGTGCCTTTACCGCTCTTGACGCCATGACAACTGCTGTCGCGTGCGATAAAGCCCTTAACGGCTTGACCGGTCAACTGCCGTTGCGTACGGTAAAGTATCACTTTCCTCATTTGTTAGGTGAATAACTATAACAGGTACGAGCGTTATAATAGGTATTTACGTAACAAGTGCGGAAAGTGATACTTTACCGCATGCGACAGCAGTTGTCATGGCGTCAAGAGCGGTAAAGGAACTTTCGGCATGTGTTGGTACAAAATTTCAGCTTCGAGTGTCAATATTTTTGTATTTCAAGTACTTTACCGCACATGTGCTGTAAAGTGCTACCTTCCACATACTCATAGATAAAAAAAAATTCACGGCAGTATTTTGGTAAACAAATTACTTGCAAACGAGTTTTTTAGATTTTTCGACAGGAAAAATTAGAAGCACGAGTGGTCTTAAGAATGTTTCCTTACTGAGCAAAACAATGAATTTTTATTGATTTATTAACATTTATGAGTATTTTATTTTGTTTTCATGTCATGTCATAAAATTTTTCCACTTGAAAATTATTTTTGACCACAAAATGAGATTTTTTGATTGATTTAAAATGACAGGAGGGAGATATTCGATTAAAATAGTTATTTGCAAATAACTTGAAAACGAATGCAGATATCGGATTGCGGTCTGCGCCAAAATGTAGATAATTTTTTGCTCTTTAAGCAGAGTTTTAAAAAAATATATCATGCCATTTGGATTTTTCCAGAAAATTTAAAAAAAACTGGATCTTGGTTAAATAGCGCCCTCTAGAAGACGCGGTGGGAACTATCGACCCCGAACGAAGTGGTGCTCTTAATAACAATGAAATTCTCTTTCGAATAAGCCCGAATTGAATGAGTTTGGATAAGGGGTATGGAAGATACAGCAGTTTTTAAAACTATTTTTTCCCCAGCTTCCCCCACCCTTATTAGTGGAGATACGAAAAAAGGCTAATAAGCAAACTGGCGCAAAAATTAACAAACTTTTGATTTCCGTTGTTAAAACAGTACCTTGATATAGCGATTGTTCGAGAATGAATTTTTAGTTATATCATCGTGATTGCGCCCCCTAGCGGCCATCTTAGAAACTTGAAAATAATTTCCATCAATTTCTTTGAGCCGATTTAGTGATGAAGAAAAAAATCCCGATGCCGTAAGGTCTATGGTTTCCATAATAACGTACCTCGTCGACCTTAGTGGGACACCCTAGTCCCTGTATATACCTACCTACTTATTTTATTTCTTTTTCTAGGAACAATTATTTGTGTTTTTCTTGTCAGCAATTATGGCAGACGAATGACTATAAGTTATTCATATTTGTTGACTGCAACATGTTCATTGCTGATTTTGGCATTTCCAAAAGGAGTTTACGTTTTTGATTGGCCCAGAGTCATATTGGCTGGTATCGGTATAATTGGCCTCTCTGTGAGTGAGAAATATGTTTAATGGAATCTTAATTGCTAGTTTGTTTCAGATTTCCATTCCTGCCATGTACTTATTCACCGGTGAACTTTACCCTACAGTGATGCGAAATTCAGGTGTGGGGTTGGCAATGATGTTTAGTCGCTTGGGGTCAATGATAGCTCCTATTTTGGTTTCGCTTCAGAACGTAGCTAGTTTCCTGCCTCTATTAATCATTGGAATTCTATCGATTTTACAGGCTGTATTAATATATCCTTTGCCTGAAACCCAAGCGTACATTTTACCTAATACTGTTGGGGATTTGGAGTTGTTGGAAAAAAGGTAAAGTGACTTAGCTTAATAATGATATGAATTTGCAATTCGTCCTAGCCTAACTGTAAAGTTATGTACCGATTACATTTTTTAGGAAACAACCAAATTTTCCAAAGAAAACATACCAATTGAAGCCAAAGTGCAATGAAGAGTATTTTTATTAATAATTTGTTTTTATATTTAGCGTAGAATAATTAGTTTTACTAATAAAATATTGTGTTATCTTTTTCAACCAATAAAGGGATTAATTCCTTTCGACCTAAAGAGCCCCCTTTCAGCAGCAAATAAATTAAAGAGGGTGCAACTGGCCCTGGGTGTATAACATTGAAGAGGGGCGTTTTCTAGCCAATTAAGCATTGATTTAGAAATAATTGACACGAGCTTTGAGCCTTATTCAAAGGGACAGATGTGCAGGCAAATCAACAAATAATAATGTTTTGGGGAAAAGGGCATTTTTGTATTGAGGGATTAGTAGTAGTTAAAATTCAACACCGATTACTAGCTTTACGAAATACAGGCAATTAGTGAATAAAAAAAAACACAAAAGTAAAACATTGATAAAAATATAATATAAATCTTCAAATAAAATATATATACTTTTTTTAAATATTGAGTAACTCATCCAAAATCGCATCAGTGCTGGGTCTCAATTGTGGATCACTGTGCCAGCATTTAATAAAAATTGATTCTAAAATTCCATCAGAATTTCCATCATCTTTACTCGAGTATACTGGTCTTGCATTAAATTTTCCAACCTGAAAAATATTTGTTTTATAAATGGTATAAGGTATAATGCTATAGTTATTTAAACAACAAGTTTTGAAAACGACTTTTTTCGCACGGCGAAACAGTTTGTTGAAGCGATAGGCAAGTTCCACAAGTCGAGCAAGTGTGAGAAAAGGTTTTCAAACGAGTTTTTTACAATGCTTTTCCTACAACTGCAAAATAAAACAACCAAATATTGTAGCAACACAAATACTTCACAATCCGTTCTATATTGTTATTTTACGGACCACTGAAATATGCCTACTAAATAAGAAACGCCCTATTCATACTATTTCTCAAAATTATAATTCAATTTATTTTACTACATCCGAATCATTCCTAATAACTACCCTTTACCTAGTCAAATAATTCCTTAAAATCTCTAAGTCCATTACTTATAAAAACCCAAAATAATTACCTATTTGTTTAACAACTAATTTATTCTCATAAAATCTTACAATAACTTTTACTTGTAAAATAAACTCCCTAATTCAAAATTCATTTCATGGACAATAAATTCTTTTAACGGCTTTCCCATATTCTAAGACAATTCTATTTCATGAACAAATTCTAATATAAGTTTCCTTTTAACAAGTTTCCAATATTTTAAGAAAACATTTCTAATTTATGTCATCAAATTTCTTTTCAAAATTTCCTATTGCAGTTAATAGTTTCTTAGAACAAATTCTATTTTCGGATTCCTATGCCTAGCTAATAAATTCAACTGTTTAATTCATAATTCCAACTCGAAATTGTATATTGTTAAATGCATTATAAGTACTCTTCATATTCGCTTTTCACCATTAAATGTCATTATATCTGAAGGTAATTAAGTTATGCAATAATGTTCCATTTATAAAACACTCGAATTATTACTATTTAAGGCAATAAAGTCCCACTGTTAAATTAATAGTCAAAAGTTTTTCTAGTAATGCAATCCTCAAGTTTATAAATTCAAAAGTACTTCTAGAAAAAATCACTCAGTTTGTTTTTATGCAAAGAAAGTCAGAGTTTAATCACTCAAAGTCATGTTCATCAAAATAAATCTTGTCACTATAAAGTAGGTACTTACATTTTGTCCATAAAACACACGTAAAATTACTTAATATACGTCGGTGTCATTATGACACATTTAGCATTGTCATTTGAATGTCATTAGGTCCTTCATAATAGCACTAGTGCGTTTAAGAATTCATAATAACACCCAAATTTTGAAATGAAAAATATACAAAAAGAAAGTTAGTTGCCAGAAGAACCTTTTCAATAATACTGTCTCTATATTCGAAAAGACACTTTCGAACTCAGAATCACCAATAATAATATTATTTTCCACTATAAAATTGAATTTATGGCACAAAAATGGACTCCAATATTGAAGCTGCCAAAGTCAAAATTCTAAAAACCAACAAGCAGGTTCTCGACTAGTACGGGCACCTGCTAAATTTCAAATTTTAATTTGAAAAGTTTTTGCTATTTCAAGGCAAATCAAATCTATTTGGACCATTGTAGATTAAATTTTGAATGATACACGTTCGATATGAACTTTATTAATGAAACTTGTGTAACTAAACCACTCGGCTAACGCCTCGTGGTTTAACGTTACACGCGTTTCATTATGGCGTTCATATCGAACTTGTATCATCAATAACTATAATTAACTACTCAAAATATTTAGCTACACGCACATAATTTATTGAACGAAATTTCAAATGTTATTACTTTCTCGATTTTCCGTAAATTTTCTAAGTTAATTTATACCCGAGGCCATAAGCCATAAAACTAACTTTTCGCGAAACTGGACAGACTTTAACTCAACTGGACGACTCAACTGTTTTCTGGCAACTGTCAACTGGGAACTATATCCCCCGGCAACTCAAACGCGGCTTTTTATATCTTTTGTTTCCCCTCCGAAATTCTGTGTCCATGACAATTAAGATGATGCAATTTCCTTGGAATTTTACATCATTTTAAGCCTGAAATCAATTAATTATGTCGCAATAATCTGATTTATTGAGGTCAAAACATTATTGGTTCAAGAATGCCATAATTCATCAAATTAATTAACATGCTGGCCTTGGCTAAGAAAAAAGTTCATTGATCGGTTATTAATGATGTCATCACCTCGTTTTTATCTGTTTTAAGAATTTAATTTAGATGATGGCTGGATGCAATACAGTTTTATTTTTAATTTATTGATACAGATTTAAAAATACCGGAATTAAGTTTTTGATTATTTGATAAAAATTGAAATTTTTTACAGTAAAGACTTTGTAATTATAGGGTCAAATTTCTGGATCATCACAATATGTAATTTTCATTTGTTAGAAAACTTGAAGCGTGTGAAAAACTTTTTCGCAGGCTGTGCGAAAAACTCTAATTTCAGAGGTTGCCTAGCGTGCGAAAAACTCCATTTTCAGAGGCAGTCGTAGGAAATAGTTATTTTCCTAACAAGTGCGCAAAGTGTTACTTTTCCGCACGCGAATACACTTATACGAACGACGCGAAGCGGAGTTCGGATACGTGTTTGCGTGCGGAAAAGACACTTTGCGCACGTGTTAGGAACAAAATTTTTCCTACGAGCTTCATATCAGGTACGTAATAACAGAAATTTAAACAAAAAACGATAATTTGTTTAATTATTTTTAATTAACTTGAAGGGAACCTATGCATTTATCAAAAAATTACATAACAAAAAACAGAAAATCCTCGTCAGAGCTGTTCATCTTAAAGCGTTTAAATTTGATGAGAAAGTTTGTAGATTTTTGCATATAAATAGAGAACAAATCTGACAATGTGTCAAAGTTAATTTATAATTGGTGTTTGTATAGATGTTGGCTGATATAGAAATAGAGGAAAAATTTGTCATCATGTGTCAAAGTCGACAGGTGCACTTATTGTTGCTTGACAATTATAATTACTTTTCGGCACTCAGTGCGGATAAGGCCTGTATCCGCACTGAGTGCGGAAAAGTGTAACTTTGAGCCCGGAAATGCGTGCGGAAAAGTACTACTTTGCGCACGCTCGTAGGAAAAAGCTTTTTCCTACGAGCGTGCGCAAAGTAGTACTTTTCCGCACGCATTTCGGTTCTCAAAGTTGCACTTTTCCGCACTCAGTGCGGATACAGGCCTTATCCGCACTGAGTGCCGAAAAGTAAAAATAATTGTCAAGCAACAATAAGTACACTTGTCGACTTTGACACATGATGACAAATTTTTCCTCTGTTTCTGTACCAGCTAACATCTATACCTACAAACACCAAATTTAATTAACTTCAACACATTGTCAGATTTGTTTTCTATTTATATGCAAGAATCTACAAACTTTCTCATCAAATTTATAGCGTTTTCCATTTGTCGAAACAGGGCAAAAAAATGTATCCTTATCCTTACATGTTACATGCTTTTAGAAAAAGATGCGGATGCACTCAGTGCGGCACTGATGACAAATGGAAATCGCCATTAAACGCTTTAAGATGAAGAGCTCTGACGATGATTTTCTGTTATATTTTTTTTTTGTTATGTAATTTTTTGATAAATGCATAGGTTCCCTTCAAGTTAATTAAAAATAATTAAACAAATTATCGTTTTTTTTTTGATTTTTGTTGTTACCTACCTGATATGAAGCTCGTAGGAAAAATTTTGTTCCTAACACGTGCGCAAAGTGTCTTTTCCGCACGCAAACACGTATCCGAACTCCGCTTCGCGTCGTTCGTATAACTGTGTTTGCGTGCGGAAAAGTAACACTTTGCGCACTTGTTAGGAAAATAACTATTTCTTTACTGATAGTAATAATTGTAGGTAGGTAATATTTGCTTGAAATTAAACCAATTGAATTTATCTGGCCATTTGGCAAAATAATATTACTACTGATGTTATGAGTTGTCATTAGGTAAATACGTAACAGTATGTAATATTTGCGGTATGCTCAAAAGTCAAAATAGGCTCTAGTCAGGTTGTTCCTGAATTCTGAGACATAGGGTGATCAATTAGCTAAAATCAAAGGCCAGTGATCATCTTAACTTGGACGTACCCGAGAACCCAAGCAGTATTTTTAGTCGTTGGTACGTTGGTACGTCGGTACGACCCGGTGACTATCATTGGGAACTATAAAGTTGTGATTACTAGTGACGGCAACGACGAACGATGGCAACGTTATTCATGCCACGATCCAATTACGTGCCTACGACCATAAAGGGTAACATTTTGAAGGTGATAGTTAAGTACCTACGTGAAAATTACTACCCCGGAACTTATACCGCTACTTTGCACTTACGATCCAACTACGTAGCGGGGACGTACGTAGCCGACAATCGACAATAGGTATAGATATTTTCGTTCCTATAAAGAGACTGTTACTTTGAATTGTTTTTTTTTTAAATTAATTGGAACTTTGTGGTAACTTTAAGACACAGTGAGAAGTA